TGATTACAGTACCGGGAGCAATCTCGAGGAGAGACAAAGGACGAGGACAATCGCAGTCACAAGGAGGACAAACGGAGTTGCTACGAGCGGATCCAACGAAACCCTTGTTAAGTTTCCAATAAAGAGTTGGTCCACACACAACTAAAACTGATACCACTGAGAATATCACCATACATCTCATGCAATTTCCCGATCTCCGCGCCATTGTTGCAGTTGACGAAAGCTCGATTTGAAATCGTCGATCAGATCACAGTCTCTGACTAAAGCAACAATGGTGGTGACTGGAGGGAGATGAAAGACGTCGTTTTTTCAATCCCACATATAATTATTTGCTAATATACCCTTTTAGTTTTTTATTTGTTTAGAAATCACCCAGAAATGGAGATTTTACATTTTAAACATGGAGGTGTTTTGAGGTGAACAAAAGGAATTAAACAACACAACCTTGTTGATATGTTACACGAACTGAATCTCAAACACATAACAAAACACAGTATACATAATGTCTTTACTTGTTGTTGTTGTGGAATAAACATTTTGGCTCTTATTGCTTTTTTTTTTATCTTACTCTTCTTCTCTCAAATCTCTGTAATACTCAGTGATCCATTGCTCTATAATGGTAACTTCTTGCGTCCTCTGCTCTTTCAGCCACTCCGGGTCGTCTTTTGTAGCAGCTCTGAGATCCGAATGGTGAGCTCCTGTTACAGACAAACAATGTTGGGTTCGATTTTCGCTCAATCTATTTGTCTAAAAACCGATACATTTTAAAGAAAAACGTTACCTTTCTTGGTCACAAGTGCGATGATGCTGCTTGAAATGTTCTTCAGAACGCTGAAAATATGTGACAGGATCGAAAAACCCCCACAAAATTAGGTTTTTACAAAATCTTTCTAATTTTCGATTCCTCGAAACCATTGAGAAGTAGTACTACTAACCCTCCACGGCTCCAAGGGTCCTGCATTCCATTGGAGAAGATAATGTTGCTTCCGAATCTCCTCAACACTGTCTCTATTCTCTGCAACACATGACCAAAGAGCTTAAATTTAAGAAACTGATCCAATGGAGGGGAAGAAATGAGAGAAGAGAAGACAAAACTGACCTTCCCACCAAATTCTGTCGTGATCCAATGTGGTCGAGGCTTGACTCCGTATTTACCCATGCATTGTTCTTGGAATGCCTCATAGTCATTCTCATACGGTGGGAACATACTCTGGTTCGAGCAGCTCATTGGCATCACCATCTCCGTGCACGCCTGTTTCCATTCCGTAGCCACATTTGTGTCATTTATAGTCTCATAATCAAAGAGACTGCCAAACCAAATGATTGATATCTAAACAACAGAGCTACCTGCCATCCCCAACCATCAAGTCCATGATCGTCAGTTGGTTGTTCAATCTCAAAGCATTTTTTGGAACCCGAATAGTTGTAGTATAAGCTTGCAGCAGCAAAGGCACGGTCAAGATTATTGGATCCTCGAGGGAAGCCATCTATGATCTTGCACATCTGATGCAAAAGAAACCAGTCCAATTCTGATAGGGAAAGAGAGAATACTGGATGACACTATGGTAAAAGAAAACCTCCCCTCTATTACCTGCTCCACGGGATAACCAGGCAGTGGCGCCATGAAGTTAGCTGCAGTCGCGTAATTAACCATGGCTGTATAAACAAACGCTGACATTAACCAATCTCTGGCTGTATATATAGAATGAAGGCCTCTGCAATTGGAGTAAAACAGTTTATTTCGAATTTATGGAACAGAGAATGGATTTCAACTGCAAGTTTGAAGCATAATTTACTTGCAAGTTCTGAACTTTTTGCTGAGTTCTGGTAAGCCTTGTTTCATGTTGGAAACTGCCTCTAGCTCTTCCCAGCTTCTCTTGATGACTTTGAAACAGTTAACACTTGCATCCTGCTTGTAACAATAGTTCATTATAACATCACTTTTAGTATAAAAAATTTGCCAGAAACAGAGCAAACATCACCTTGAAATCCTGAGAAATGGCATCATAGAAGCTCGTTAATGGCACGATGTTATCAAAATGCAGAATTGGAGCAGACGATGCCAATGCACCGATTGCTATGTGGGGATACTTTAGCCTGAACCACGCTGCAAGCACTGTCTCAAGACAACAAAACATAGTTTATGAGAAATAAAGAGCTATTATCAATTAATTATTCCATTGAAAGTGGTGATTGTTAGCTTACTTCCACCATAAGAGCCACCAAAGACAACCACAGGAGATGCCTCAGACGATAGATTCTGCTTTAAGCTTCTTATCAGGACTGCATAATCAGCCAACGCTTGCTGAGAGTTCAGGTAACCCAATGTCTCAGCCGACTTAGGCGACTTTTTCCCAAATGGCGTTGATTCTCCATAGAACCGGTGCTGCAATTATATGCAACAAAACAAAACACCGATCTAAACGTTTTGATTCTAGTTCTTCAAACTAAAGTTGAGATTATGTAGTTTGCAAAAGCTCTTACTTCAATGAAAACAAGAAGAGCCTGGAACTTGGGAGCAATATCAGACATGAAACCAGTGTTGGAAGCAAACCAGTCGATGTCTCCTTCATTTCCAGTGTAAACGAAGATAGGACCACCTTTGCGCCAGAAACGACGGTTGATGAGGTACTTCTGGTGAAACACTTTGTAGCTCTCTGGTCTGAAACTGAAGTGGTCAAGATTCTGAGGGAAGTAACGAGTCTCAAAAGGTAACTCTGGCTTTGACTTGGAGGAGGCCTTCTTGATTTGTCTTAGAGAAGAAGAGAGATGGTGGAAACCTCCTCGAGTATAATACGTTGCTTCTGCAAAACTAGTGAAGAACAGGAAAACAAGACACAAACAAGCAGACATTTTTTCTTTCTCACAAAACAAGAGCAACTCAAATACACGCAAGAAGACAGAAGAAGAATAAGTGGTTTGGTCTTATACTCACAAAATTGGTTTTGCATTCGTCAAGTTTTGGTTTCCCAAGTAAACTCTTTTGGAGCTTGTAGTGGGTAAAACGTGAGTTGCATCAGAAAAAAAGTTTTGTCCTTTTTTCAGCACTTGTGATGATACTGCCTCTCAACCATTTCTCTTAAGTCTCAAGCATGATGCTGACACAAAAGTGTAACAATCAATCATACAAGTGGCCGTATGATCCCAAACAAAGCCATCCTCAATCTCCACCAAAAAACAAAACTTGTTAGTTTTGCAATAATCTGAATAATAATATATTTAGTTAAAATCCTCGAAACTGGGTTTGTTGTCATGAACAAGAAACAAAACAAAAAGGTTGGGAAAAGGTTCAAAACTGAGAATACCAATGAGGCAATAAGATAAAAAAAGAACAAGTTTCTTATCTTAGAATAGTTTCAGATTAAGAAATTCTAAATGGATTGAGATCTCAGTACCAATAGTTAATAAAGGCCACAGAAACATAACCTAGGAAAGCCTAAACAGATTAGTTTTGAATATTTCAACCACAAAAAAAAGTCATATAGAAACAGATACAACTCAACATCAATTTGCTGTCACAAAAGAAGAGAAAGACCATAAAGGCACAAACTTTTCTCCCAAAGTTGACCACTTTCATGATTGTTTCTTTCATTCTTTTAACGGTCCAAACAGAGAAAGGGGTTAGCCCCACAATTGCTGTGATAATTGTGGGAGAGAGATTTCAACATAAATTCAAAAGCCTATACTTGTTCTCAGAGATTCTGATTGTGCTTCCGTTGCTGCTCGGAGATCTATTTAATTCACTACCAATGAATGAATCATTTGTTTACAGAATTAATCAAAATAAAACAAGAAGAAGAACCAAAAAGGGAAAATGGTGAAAGGAAGTTATTAAAGCGCTCAAGAGGCTCATCATCGCGCGTTTGTGGCTTGATTGATTGATTCCGGGGCAAAGAGTCTGGCATTGTAAGCTGAGTGGCTGGCTGCACCACAGAGCCACCAAATTAGGAATTCTATTGGAATGAAGAAGACGATATTTGACATAATTTTTGGGGGATGAGACATA